CCACTGCACAGACATCCAGGTGATGATCGACAGCATGACAAGTAGTCCTGGGACTGCATCGGTTTGGTCTGAGGAAATGAGTAAGTGAGGACTGGGGGGCAGGGTGTCCAGGGGGCAGCCAGTGCCGCCCGGCCCCTCCCTGCCATGCAACACGGGTGCCCAGCGGGGCCGGGTCCCAGGAGGGGCTGGACAGCGGATTTTCGGGGTGAAATCTCCCATGGCTTCCGTGTGTTTTTTAAAAATATATTTTCATTGATTTCAGAGAAGAAGGTAGAAGGAGAGATATAGAAACACCAGTGATGAGAGAGAATCATGGATCGGCTGCCTCCAGCACACCCCCCACTGGGGATCGAGCCTGCAACCCGGGCCTGTGCCCTGACCGGGAATCGAACCAGGACCTCCTGGTTCACAGGCCGACGCTCAACCACTGAGCCACGCCGGCCGGGCTCCCATGGCGTCAGTTTTGTCAGCTGATTCACATGAAGAAAACAAGTACCTGGTGGCCTCAGACCTCTTATCTGGCCCTCGTTTCACAGGTGGGGACACTGGGGCCCAGGGAGGGCAATAGACTTGCGGTGGATGTTCCAGAATCCAGAGGCCACTCAGGCCAGGGCAAGTCGGTGGGTTCGGAAACGACACCCGTTCTGAATGCACACAGTCACCGCAGGGCCGCTCCCAGAGGCTCCCGGCCCCTCAGCGGGGGACGCGCCATGTCTACCGAGAACCCAGCCTGCCCGCTCTCGTGCTCTGGAGCCGCACATCCGAAGTCGCCGGCTGTTCCTGTCTTTCGGCAGCTGAGACTTCCGCCGCCCTGGCTCTGTGCCAGGCTGTTTCCGTCCGCCACGAATACTGTCCCACATAACCACGTTGCGTGCGGGCTCTTTTCATGCTAACATTTTCCCGAGGAAAGTGTGTCCCTCCCTGGGCGCTGGCGCCAGTGTGCTCCCATCATTCTGCCTCTCTAGCCTCAGTTTCCTCATCTGTGAAATGGGACTAAGAGGCCGAGGCCTGAAGCACTGGCCCACCCGGCAGGATGTAGGATCAGTGGGTGGAAATCCCAGGGAGGCTGATGACAGCGAGGCTCCAGGCAAGAGCTTCTCAGCTGAGCTGCTCACGGGAGAAATGGGCCGCCCCAGGCGGTAGTGAGCTTCCGGTCATTGGAGGCAATCAAGCAGAAATGAGCCGTGATGGGGATGGTGTGGAGGGCCCTGGAGGCCACCTGCTTGGGGGATTTGCTCATGGTTCTCCAGCAGCAGACCAGCCCGCCCGCCTGCAGGCGAGGCAATGACAGAAGGGGAGCTGCTGGGAAGGGAGGGAGCCTCGAGACACCAGGCAGGAGTGAGCCTGGGATGCGGGCCTGGCCTGAGGCTCCGGGACACGGGCTGGACAGCTCTGGTCTGTCCACTGTGACCTCAAAGGAAGCCCCTCGTGGGGACAGAGACAAACCCACGAGCGGCACTTGCCCATGTGCGGAGCAGGTCCCGGGAAGGGCTCCCAACCTGCTTCCCAGAAGGGCCAGGAGGCGCGGGGCAGGGGCAGTTCCATCCTTTTGTTCTTCAGGCTGTTAGTGCTCGCAGGTATTATTCATGTTTAAAAGCATCAGATTCCTTTTGTTCCAAAGAAAGCCCTTGGCTTGAGGTCCTGGACCAGGTCCCCAGGAGCTGAACAGCACTGGGCCCAAAGGGATCAACAGAACAGCACTGGGCCCAAAGGGATCAACAGAACAGCACTGGGCCCAAACGGGACAATGGAACAGCACTGGGCCCAGACGGGACAACGGAACAGCACTGGGCCCAGATGGGACAACGGAACAGCACGGCCCAGACGGGACAACGGAACAGCACTGGGCCCAGACGGGACAATGGAACAGAATTTGGCCCAAAGGGGACAATGGCTGAGCCGCAGCCCCACCTGCCACAGCCCCTGGACTTAGAGCGTCACATGGTGGCCTCTTGGGCCCACGGGGACCGCCTGGGGGAGGAGTGATGGGACCACCCAGGGGAGGGAGCCCAGAGGGGTCAGGAAGCGGGGCCAGAGCCACCGCCCACACTCGAGGACCCGCTGCCTCCTGGGTCTCCCAGCTCACAGCTGCCCCTTCCTGGGGGCTTCGTGACCCACAGGGAGGGCTCACCCCGTGATCCAAGAGTAACCCCAGAGTTCCAGCGGCTCCATGTGCATCTGCCCTACACTGTGAGCCCTGGGCTGGCCCCGCACACCCCTGCCTGCCTGCTCCGCCTGCTCCGCCACCTCTGCTTGGCCGAGCCCACAGGCTCATTCCCCCGGCCCTGCCCAGGAGGGTCACCCCAGCCCAGCGGCCACAGTGCCCACGGGGGTCAAAGGCAGCCGTGTGCTCTCTGCCCCAGGGGAAGGCGGAGCATCCCCTCCTCACCTCTGTGGGCGCCAAGGTCCAGGAGCCCCACCTGGGCCTTCCACGGCTTTACCAGGCGGAGAGGGCGGAGCGCAAAGGCCAAGGTGTGGGCCAAGGTGTGGGCGGAGCTAGGTCCTATTCGGAAGGTAGTGGGAGTCGTCGGAGGGCGTGGTGGCAGGTTCATGCTCCAACCAGGGCCCCTTCAGAACCTCCCGCAGCTCAAGAAACAGCCGAATCCCTCCCCACTCCCCCCCAGGGCTCACCACTCAGCCGCTCCCTGGACCCTCACCCCCTCTGTGAGCTCAGAGAGGCCTGTCCCTGTTACAGACGAGGACATGGCCCAGAGGGGGACAGCGGACTTTCCAGGGTCACAGCACGTCCCGTCCTCCTACCCCAGAAACCAGGAGCAGGAAAAGGCAGCCACGGCCCTTCTGTGGTGGCCACAGCCTGTCTCTCTCTCTCTCTCTCTCTCTCTCGCCTGCTGCTGCCCTTTAAGTGGGGGGGTGGGGGGGTGGCGGGGGGAGAAAGTGAAAGTGAGGCTGGGCTTTCCCATCAGGCCTGCCTGGCCCAGCCCACATGCAGCCTGACCTGCAGTGGGAGCCAACACTCCGCTCTCCGTCCACCTGGGAGCCCACAGACCCGCCTTGGTTTGGAGTCACCCTCGCGGCCTGGACGCTGCATGCTGCCCTGACTGAGGCCGGCCCTCTAGCTGGACAAGGGTCCTGGGCTCTCCTGGCGCAGCCTCCTGTTGGGCCACACGGCCAGTCCTCTCCTCATCTGAGCCGTGACGAGGCTGCCCGCTCTCCTCTGAGCTGGGGGACAGGGACGCTGAGCTGGGGCAGGCTCTGGGGGACCGGGCCCCCAGCTCCCCAAGGACGGAGTCACAGTGGGTGGCAGGCCTGCTGGTTCCCAGGCCCTGGCCCAGCTGTGCTGCCCGCACGCTGTGTGGCCCCGAGCTGGCCTCTTCCCTGGGCCTCCTTTTTCCGTCCAGAAAAGAAGAGGAAATGACCACTAAGGGCCCCCTTGGGCTCGACACTAACTTTCCATTTGCTCATCCAGCCGCTCCTCCTCCTCCCACCGCCGACGCCCCACCTGCTTGGGGCTGGGGTGCCCCCATCCTCTGAGACCTCCCGAGCCAGGGGCAGGGAGGTGGCAGGAGGCCCCAGGCCAGAGGACACTTCCAGCCGCATCCCTGGCTGGGGAGGTGGAGGCCACCCGTAAACGCAGCCTCTGGGAGAGTCTTCCCTTGCACCCGTGACTGGAGTCCCTTCACAAAAGATTCACCATAAAAACCCCTCCGCCAGCTCCCCCTCCCCCACGCACAGGCTGGCTCCCCCAACACACACACTGGTGGCCCCAGGAGCACAGAATTTGCATAGAGGTTCATATGCAAATGACTCCTGCAGCCTCCGGCCAGTTACTTCCCCTCCCGGGGTCATTCTCCTCCAGTGCTGACTTCAGACCTGCCCCCCAGCATCTGGCGGAGGAGCTGGCGGAGGGGGGCAGGCTTCTAGCTCAGATCCTGTGGTTTCCCGGGGTGCCCCCTCCCCCCACTGTGTGAGCACCCTGCCCAGGCCTGGGCCACACTCCTCTGCCACCAGCCGGAGCATGGCCGCCTCCTCCCCCGGGGGAGTCTGGGAAGGGCCAGGGTGCCCGGTGCCCACAGGGACCATCTAGATCGGTACACCTGCCGGCGATGTGCCAAGCCCCGGGCAGCCCCAGGTGGAGCTCCGTGGCCCTGTCACCTCAACACACCGACACCACAGACAAAACCCCGACCGCGGGTTCACCCCGACCACGGGCACCGGCCAGACCCGGGCCTGGGCGCTCACCGGAGGGGGATGCGGATGGCGATGTAGCGGTCAATGGCGATGGCCAGGAGGCTGAAGATGGAGCTCTGCGTGAGCACCAGCACGAAGCAGGCGAGGAAGAGGCAGCTGTGGCAGGCGGCGCAGAACCCGGTGCTGATGGTGATGGCGAAGGGGATGGCCAGGACCCCCACGGCGATGTCGGCCGCCGCCAGCGACACCACGAAGAAGTTGGTGACGTTCTGCAGGTTGCTGTTGAGCCACACGGCCCAGCACACCAGCACGTTGCCCAGCACGGCCAGCACAGCGATGGCCAGCTCCACCACGATGTACACCGAGGAGTCCATGCCGGACATGGCTGCGGGCGCACGGGGGC